AATGATGTTGAATGAGCAGAATGGCAGAGGCATTTCTTTTTCATGGCATATACAAATTGTTTGATGGGACTAAATTGAACACTTTATCAAATTGTTTCCTTCCTGAAACTGTGCTGTGGTGGCTTTTGAAATGCCTCCTTTGTAGTATGTTATTAAGAAGATGGGCTTAACCATGGATGTCTTCAGCTACAGTGGAAAATTGGAGATCACCTTCTTCCACCCCAGGAAGCAAACATATTTCCCTTCATTATGGAAAGGGTGACAGGGAGGACCAGCCAGCTGTTTAGCTGGGAGAGGCTGGCTCTGTAACACAGCTTGGTCCCAACTGGAGAGATTGAGTTGGACAGAACTACCCAAACTGGATAGAAATTTATTCATGTATGCAGCTACAGTGGCAAGAATGTTACTTGCCCAAAAATAGAAAGAGGAAAAAGTCCCAGCAAAAGAAGAATGGATACAAAAACTTATGGAATATGCAGAAATGGCGAAACTTACCAGAACAATAAGAAATCAAGATAACAATTTTTATATATATAAAAGAATGGAAATGGTTTATGGAATATTTACAAATTAACTGTAAACAGATAAGAACATTGGCAGGATTATTGTAAGAACCTGCAGTTTTAGAAGAGTATATAGTTAAAGTAGATTAATAAATGAATAAGTTAAGTTAATTTGGAATATGCAGAAAATATTAAAAAAAAATATTAAGGAACCGCAGAAAGAGGGGGAAGGAAATTGAGTTTCAAAATGTTAAAATGATTGTAAAATTATTGAAATGTATAAAATTGAAAATCATAAATATTATTATTAATAAGATTTCCCTTTATTAAGGCAAGGGGGACAGGGAGGATCAGCCAGCAGGTTAGTTAGGGAAAGGTTGGCTCTTAAAAACTGCTTGGTCCCAACTGGAGAGATTGAGTTGATCAGGCTATAGAGCAGAAGTATGGTCATGTGATTTATAAGGTGCAATGTATCATGTCAATGATCCACTGGGTCACCTGACATACTTACAGGCTCAGCAGACCTGTGTCAGTTTCCCCTTCTATCACCCAGAGCAGAGGCAGTTTAGGATGGTGTGATAAGTTTCGCCACACTGGTCACCAGGCCTAGGGGGGTGCCACAATTGTGATGTAGTGAGTTGAGCAGAACGGAAAGTGAGAAGTGGACACGGGTGCTGAATTTTGGCCTCGCACAGGGTGCTGCTGAAATTTGAAAGACCAAGGCCCATCCCTGCCCAGAGATGATGTGACCGTTGGGCAATTAGAGATGACGCGAAATGCTCCCCCCCCCAGCTTCAATGCCCTTTTAACATGCTGCATAGTTGGTGAGGCCGTATTTCAGTAACTTGGGGGAGGGACAGCAAAAGGGGCAGGCCCAACTAGTGGCTTCCTCAAAAAAGAAGTCCTCAAATGTGAGAGCAATAAGCATTTGTGGGATTGGCTTCAAGACAGTAGTGCAGTGGGGGGGGGGGTGTGCTCCAGGGGCAGTTGCCCCAGGTGCAAAATTGTTAGGGGTGCAAAATTTCAACACCAAGTGCTGCCTCAATTTCGCTGCACACTTCTGTTGATGGGCTGTGTTGAAACAGTTTCTCCGTGCAAACCCGGGAGTTAACTCTCCAGACAAAAGAATGACTCTTCTTATCTCTGTGCCATTGATCTCCTGAGTGACATGGATGCCATTAGGCAGTTGAATATGCATGCATAGTCTCCATTTCCCTCCCTCCCATCCCTCCACACAGTCCCGGGCACTGGCAACCCACGTTATGCCACCGCCTCATGGTGCTGCTGTTTGATTTCACAATGCCATGCCAGGATTCAAAGTGAGGGTTCCGAGATTCTTTTGCCCATCCTCTTCCCGTAGGAAACTCTACTTTGAGGGGAAGGGTGCAGTAGAGAGGAAAGGTAGGACATGAAGTAACTGAAACAACTCTTCAATCCCCAGGCTCATATTTCTCTAGACTGTTTGCAGTGAAACAGTCTGAACTCAAAACTCTGCACAAATGCTTGACAGCACGGAGTTCATGCAATCATCCCCCCCCCCACATACACACACCTTTGTTAAGATGGAGAACATGTCCAGGCCTCCAATCACACAGAAGCTCTGGGTGGAGATAGGCGGACCTTCTAAGTGCAATGGAAATGCTTTCAACACACTTTGTCTGCCCTGAAAACAAATGCCTCCAAATACAGAAGGCCTCATTCTGCAGATCGCTTGTTGTGCCACACTTAAAAGACATGCCTGCTTTTGCCCTCAGTTCACATTAAATGTTATGTGAATGATGGAGGCCCTCACGCCAGCCTTCTACCATGCAGTCTGAGCATTGGCCTTCAGGAATGGAGGAACTGGCGCTATCACCCAGAGCTCTGAATTGTACAGGCGTGACCTCTAAGCTGACAGCTAGCACCATAACGCTTCTCTAGCTAGGCCTTTGTATTTTCTCATAACTCCTGTCCCAAAGAAATCCCAAATAATTGCTGCTTGATCCTGTGAACCTGAGTGTCAACATCCCTTCTCCTAGTTTGCGCGGGCTTGTGCATTACACACTTCTGTCCAAGCACATTGACCCAAGTACCACCCCAGGCTAATTCAGCTTGACAGGTAGAGCCTGAGACATCAAGTGACAAAGTAAAAATGACAAGCAATGGCAGCATCTTCCTAACAGTTGAAAGGGCAGAGAATGGAAACAGCTGTTGTCACAGTCACCTCTCTTGGGAGAAAAGGCTTCATATGGTGAAGGACAGCCAATGGCAAAAGCCCTTGTTGTTTGCTTAGAACTTTCCCCCTTCTAAATGTAGCTGATGTTCATATTGTTTTTAACCATCAGCAAGAAGCTGAGATGCAGCCTTCCTTTAAATAAGGGTGCCAAATTCTGATATGAACTGACCTGGTCTGCACCTCCCAGACTAGTGTGCCACAATGCAAAGTAGCTACTTGCTGAATTTCACACTTCCTGAATTTTCTAATGCAATTTTCAGGTGTTAAAAAAAAGTAAGTATCAAAATACACTTTCTCTTGAGAGAAAATATATTTAAATTGGTGTATTTTGGAAGGAAATAAATTTGGAAATGGGTTTGGGGAGAAAATGCCTATTTGAATGCAAGTTTATGTGCAGATTGATTGATTTTTTTAAATCACAAATGAATGTAGACAAAGGACAATGGGTTTACAGACAACTATGAGAGCAATCTTTTAGCAAGAGCCACTGGGATGCTCAGGATTAGTATCCAGCCAGTCTCCAGCAGAGCCAGGAGGTTCAGCATCCTGGCTCGGTTGGGACACAGAAAGGGAAAGAAGAACCAGAGAGGGGAGACTTAGGCTGGAACCTAGGCTTGTTCAGTTTGGTCACATGACCTGGCAACCTGGTATAAATTAAGCCAACTAAAAGGGTGGTGTAACAAAAACACTCTTTAAAGGCTTGTTTTCCCTCTGCTAGCCTTAGACTAGCTCAGCCAGCACCTGCCCCACTCCTGAGCATAGCTGGATCTGGTGTACAGTGTTACCTCAGTTTATGAACTTAATCGGTTCCTGAAGTCCGTACTTAAACTGAATCCATTCTTAAACTGAGGCATGCCTTCCCTAATGAGGCCTACCACTGCCGGTGCCCTTCTACTGTTCGGTTTCCGTTTGTAGACCGAGGTAAAGTTCGCAAACCAGAACACTACTTCCGGTTTTGTGTAGTTCATAAACCGAATCGTTCATAAACAGGACTGTTCTTAAACCGAGGTACCACTGTACTTTACACATATCTTATGCTGGGCTTGCTTTATGCCAGATTCTTGTGTATAGGATTGTTCCCTATGTGTGCGAGCGAAGTGGACCAAAGCAGACTGATTTGCCCATCTGTGCTGTCCACTGCCCTGCACAGTGGACAGAATGTTTATGACAAAAGCCTACCTATTCTTCAAGTATCATATAGGTGCAATTTTATACTGATAGTGCAGGGAGGCAGATGAGTTTTTGTTTTTTTAAGTTGCCACCATTTTTTTTGTAAAGCAAAATTTGAGCTGAATTTGGAGATTTGAATTCAAATGGAACATCCATGGGATTTTAAGGAAAGTATCATGAGTTTAGGATGAGACTAGAACAAAATTTTAGGGCTGTACCTGCATATGCTTGTTCTTGCCTCAAAATACTACTGCGTTCTCTCTCTCTCTCTCTCTCTCTCTCTCTCTGTGTGTGTGTGTGTGTGTGTATTTGTTTTCTGTTTTCCCATGGGTGTCAGATTTACTTATGATTCTGGAGTCTATCTGAGGAAACATGATTAAAAATCATGGTAAACGACTGGTAGATCATTTGAAGAGGATAATTTTTGGTGGGCTCTGTGTAGATTATTTTTATTTCTTCTTTATAAAAAAAGATGTACAGACCATTAGTTATTTGAGTTATGCACTCCATCCAACCTACTGATTTCCTGCAGACCTACACCCATGCATTTCCATCATGAGGTAAATGTGTGACAGGGAAGCCAATGTTTCCCTCAGAAAAAAATGCATTTCTATCCTAAGTGTAATAATACACATAAAATGTGAAGCTCTTGGACCACTGAAAGCTGCTGTAATGCTAAGTGCTCTGTAGCAATTATCAGAAGCGGCTGTGTGTTGCCTCTGTAAATTTCTAGGCCGATTGGCTCCATCTCCTTAATGAACTTTTCATTGGCAACCTGAAAAAAGAGAGAGCATGATGCCATGTTTTTAAAAAGCCTTGTTGACAAAAGCATAAATAAAATCTTGGCAGTTTATTTTGGCAGAAGATCACAAAGGGAACCGATATATTCTTGTGCTCTCCAACTTCAAAAGGAAAGACCTTGAATTTCTAATACTGTAGCCTGAAACACATAATGCTAACGTTTGTGTGTCAGGTTAAGTCTTAGAACAATGTGGAAATTTCTTCAGGACTTGAATCGACTCTGTAGCATTTTGCAGGTATTGTTAGAAAACTCGCATCCAGAATAAGAATGACTACCCCCCCCCATTAAAAATATTCAGAGAGACCGGGAAGGGGGTGTAGTTTAGTGGTAGAACATCTACTTCGCATGCAGAGGAAGGTCCTAGATTCAATTTCTGTGCTAGGCATTTTCACTCAAAATATGCCTTTCTAAATGGATTTCCTCTTAGAATATATATTTCAGATGGATTTTGAGGCTTATTTTCCACTGTTGCAACATTCAGAGAAATATGGACTTCAATGGATAGTTATGTTTGTAAATGGCTTTGCAGCTTCTCTTCACAGCAAAATGGCATATAGTTTTTTATGAAATAAATAAATTTACCCCATTTGCCCTGTAGATTCATATCACTTGTTTTAGGAGACCAGAAATAAGAAGGTATGGGGTGTAAATAGGGGACGTTTATTAAACAACAATATTAAGAAACTAGGGTTGGGTGATATTTGGTTTTCAACATCATGATATATCACCAGCTAAACATCGTGATATACTGATATAGCATGATGACTGAAATAAGGATGGAACTATGTAGCGCGTACATGCACATGCATGCTCACGCACGCACGCGCACACACACACACACATCATGATTCACGATATATAGCTAGGCCAAAAAGTATGAAACCGATATCACAATATGGACTTCTAACCAGTTTCAGATTATATATCAATATATTGCCCAGCTCTACTCTAAACTACATAGTGGGGGTATTATCTGTGGGAAATATTCAGTCCTCTGCTGGCCATGATCAGGTGAGCCTACTGTGCAGAGGTGAAAAGGTGGTGTTAAACTCTACCGCTTTCCCTCTGCCACACCCTTACAGGGGAGAAGAATGGTTTTCCAGATTTACACCTCCTTTGGGTCACAAAATTCCCAGTATGTCACACAGGTAAACTTCAACAGTGATCCACAACCGGCCCTATGGATTGCAGAGTCCTTTGCGCACGTCTCTGGAATTACTAATCACCGGGCATCATCTGCCTCAAAGAAAATCGGTACAAGGAGCAAGACGTACTGACATCTTCCCAATATTTTCAAGAAAGCGATTAAGGAAGTACCATACTGGCAAATTGCAGAGCACTGGACATTAGAGTGACTATGAGTGACGAGTGGCATACTCACCAATTGTTCAGCCCTTTCCCCTTTCCCCCCACCCACACCTGCCACAGAAGAGGGACAAGTCTCAACTAAGGAGTTGTGGGGGGGGGGTCCTCTCCCCAGACCTCTTTTAAAGCTGGGCCTGGGAGCAGTAGTCAGTTCAGAATGGAATTAAGAAGGTTAAATTCTGCCAGCACCTCAAAATTCAGTTCCTTTTTCTTTGGCTATATCGGGGTTTTTTTTTCAGTCATAACTCACTGGAACCTAGTTCCGGCACCTCTCAGATAGGTGCCATTGCCATTCTAAGAAAACAAAGGAGTCATGGCACCTCTTTTTCAACAAAAATAGCACTGAGTTATATTGTTGAAGTCAGCTGAGGTTTAGGTTATATTGTGTCACAGAACCCCTGTCACAGGAGGATCTGCCTCTTTCTGGTACAGGATATTGCTAAAATACAGCTTCATTGAAAATGCATCTTGCTTTCTTGAACCAGCACATCTTATTTCAATCATATGAAACATCCCCCTCCCTTTCTCTCACTTTTGAAACAGGTTCTTCCAAACACACTTGCAAGAAATAATGTGACTGAGTCAAACACATTAAAGCTTTTGCTAAGCGTGTTCATGATTTTTAAAGAGCTTGAGCTCTAGGGTCAAGCCATTGGAGAAAACGCATGCGGAAAAACTTGCATTGTGTCATGTAATATATTCAGCTGGGACATAATTCATCCATGCAGTGGAACTGGGAGGTTTTAAAACTTGGCTTTTATTTTTAGTTATCTATTATGCAACAAACTTGGCTTCATGCACCAGTAAATTCTATTATCTAGCAGCAGCACTATTTTGCTCTAAATCCAGTTTATAAATACAGAAATATTGTTGCAATGAAAAATGGCATTAATATTCACCAAGCAAAAATGCCTCCAAGGTCTTGGTCATTCTCGAGCTGGGTATATTGATGTGAGCTGATAAATAAGTTGGATTGCCCTCATTTGTGCTTCCAGTGCAGCACAGAAATGAGAGTACTTTCGAAACTGGCTACCGCAAGAAAGCTCTGATGTTCTGAAATGGGACGGTATCTGCCACCAAGAGAATCATTATGTCCCCGATACTGACAAGAAAAGGATTAAGGAAGTGCCACACTGGCAAAGTGCAGAGCATCAGATAATACAGCCATTATGGGTGAGCAAGAAATTTTCAGGGTGAAGTGTTAGGAGCAGCAGGGTCCAATACATGCTGTTGCTAGTCCAATGGGCCAAAAGCAGGAGATTTGGTAGGGGGTGGATTGGAGGTCAGATATCCAATTGTATATCAGTTATCCCCCCTGTTACAGCCACCCAACTGGCTCCACTAGAAGTAGAGCTGTTAGTATCAAAAGTCCCATGCTGTGGAACAGTATTCCAGCAGAGATTAAACAGGCATCAAAAGTGATCTTCAGGAATCTCTTGAAGACTTTGTTATGCTGGAAGGCGAAGACAGTGGTTTAATTCTTTCTTGATTAGCCAGTCATTTTAATGAATGTTCTTTAAGGAGGTGTGTTTTGTTTTGCTTTGTTTTGTTTTGTTTTGTTTTGTTTTGTTTGTTTTTACAGTTCTGTACAGCACCCTGATGGTTTGAGAAAACATAAATGTGTATATATACATAGAAATTAGTGTACAGAGATGTTATGTTTTGTGTCATGAACCTTTACCCTGAGTCTTTTAAGTCAGCTTACCTTTCCTGGTGGGCGGTGTTGCAGCTGGTATCCGGGAATCTACAGTGATCTGGCGTGGGGGGGCAGAAAGTAGATGCCCCCATCAGGGTGCCCCTATTTGATGCAAGTCATAGGGCTCCCCCTATTGGTGGCTTACCCTTATATGGACTATCTGCAGATGGGTGGGAGTCGACTTATAGCCTGGCTTCACCTAATGCTAAGCCAAACCATTCACATCTGTAACCAATAAAGTTAGCATCAAAAAGATTTGGAAGAAAGCTGTCAGACTTTCCTCTCCTGCAAATAAAAAATAATGAAGAAATAATAATAATAATAATAATAATAATAATAATTCTTTTTAAAGTTTTTATTTATACCTTTCAAGTTTATACATTTCACTAGTTTTACAACCAATTTAACAATTCAAATTTGACTTCCTTCCCCCTCTTTCTGTGGTTCCTTACATTTATTTTTTAATATCTTCTGCATATCCAAATTCATTTAATTATCTACTTTAAATATATACTTTTATGAGACTGCAGGTTGTTACAATAATCCTGCTAATGTTTTTGTCTGTTTGCAATTTATCTGTAAATACTAAGTAAAACATTTCCATTTTTTAATAAAAAGTTTGTTATTTTGGTTTCACCATTTCTGCATATTCCATAAGTTTTTGTATCCATTCTTCCTTTGCTGGGACCTCTGCTTCTTTCCACTTTGAGGCAAGTAGCATTCTTGCTGCTGCAGTAGTATACATAAACAAATTCCTATACAATTTAGGTAGTTCTGTCCCTATAATTCCCAAAAGAAAAGCTTCTGTTTTTTTTTTTTTTACGAAAGTTATTTTGAATATCCTTTTCAATTCATTGTATATCGTTTCCCAGTAAGCTTTAACCTTACTACAAGACCACCACATATGATAAAAAGAATCTTCTTTAATAATAATTCTTATTAGTATTCCTGAAGCCATATGCAGCAGTGGGGGAAACAAACAACCCTCAAACCTGAATGATTGGTAGTTGTATAATGAAATCCATTAGCATTTAGGACCATAAATTGTCTAATGGAGCTCAAGCAACTGGCATTTTGTTATGTAGGTTAGCAGCTCAAATGAAGTGGGGACGTCCAGAACGGGGGAAAATAACAGATGAGAAAAATGAAAAAGAAAAACCCAACAAAACTTTGTTACTTCAAAAGTGAACATAGAGTTTATTCTTGTGGAATGTATATGGCAGCACAAGTACTTCCAGTTTGTATTATTCACCAAGTGAAGGTGATCAAACTCGTCTTTTTGGGGGGTTCTGGCAATGTCACACAGAATTGCACTCCAAGAGGGATACAGAGGAAACTCTTTGACACTCTGATGCCTGAGGGCTGCTTTTCATTGCTGTGCCATCTCATGGGGAAAAAACATTTCTAATGAAAGATTTAACAGACATTCAAGTGACTGCAAAAGATATGCGAGCCATCAGTAGGAAATAGTGGATTTTTACAGTTTTGCTTTTTCTCCATTTCTCTCTCTTTTTTTCTCCATACTTAAGTTCGGGTCACCATTTTAGTTTGCTTATTTATTCACTTTCACATCATTGTGGTGAAAAAAGACCCTGTGACATTTCATTACAATTCAGTGCAAATTTCTCCTAATATACCCATTTTTGTATGCAGTTTTGCCTAATGTACACATTTTTTTGCAAAACAATGTCTCCAAATATAATGCACTTCATATTATGTTCCACTACTATATGCATACTTTAACCTAATATGTGCATATTTGTACACATTTTTTTGGCTAAAGAACTGTATTGCAAAATGCATTTCGAAGGATACTTGTATTTCAGTGCACAGATTGTTTCAAAAAGTGCAAATTATGTAGGTTCACTTTCAAATGTGAATGGAATCAAAATTCTCCCCATCCCTAGCCATCAACCAAGTGTTCATACATTTGCTTGCAGCATAAATTTTTATCCTCATCTGTATGCAGGTGAATTACTTATGGGAAGGATCCCATCTTTTCAAATAATGCTAATATAACCATTCTTATGCACTATTCTTAATGTGTGCAATACATTCTTGTTAAAAGATGGTCTAGAAATATGAAAAAAATTGGTATTCATTTGCATGCATTTGAAAGAATATATTTTGTTCATTTTAAGGGGTAATTAAGTGATATCATATGAGAATTATTTTGGATGCTAAGATATATATTTGGTGCACTGTACTTTAAGGAGACAAGATGCAGATAGAAATTAAGATAGGCTGGCATAAAAAGAGCTGTACCAGATGTGTCCCATCAGCCCCATAGAGACCTGGTTAAGTTTTCAGTCTCCCTGTCTCTAACTAGGACTTTTTAAAAAAGGACAAGTAACTTGTGAAGCACCTGACTGGACAGACTGTGATACACACATCAGTTTTCCTATTATTATTATTAGGCAGAGAAACTAGTGCATCAGCAACAGAGAGCCTAGCCTGACATTGATTTCTGTGTTCTTAATGTCTATGGGTTTATTGCCAATGAGAATAACAACTGGACAGCTACTAAATTTTTGAAAACACAAAGGCTTATGACAGCTTCAGTTATAATTATGGCTTTAACACCTAAGTCTGAGGAAACAAACACCTCCTTTGGCAGAGTTATCAGCGACTGTCAATCAGAATTTAAAGCGTTCTACAAACAGAGATGGAGTTTTATTTTAGGGTCAGGTCACCAGATCATTCTCTAAAGCCCTGCAGCCTTGCGAGAGTTTAAGGTCAGGTCAACTAAAATAGTAGCAGGAAGGATCAACATAGCAAAATGAATGAGGAATGCATGTGTAGTTAACCCAGTTCCAATAATGACCAAGTTGAAGAATAGCTGTACATTTGTGTCTATTTTTGGACTGCCCACTTTGGTAATCAAGACTAATTTGTGAATTAAGGAGGTGCATGTCAGAGGCTAAAATGCACCAGGCTCTTTCTTGTTTGCTGTTAATTTATCCCTATGTTTCCATGCTTTAGAAGCATTCTGGGATGGAAACTCAACTCCCAGCCACATTGGCATGAAAGTAAAAAAAAAAGCAACAGCCTCACTGGAGTAGCTAAAATCAGCAACTGACACTAAGCCAATAGGCGGTGAAAGTAATCATCTGTTTTGGGGGAAGATTAGTTATTCAATTAAATATACAACGGGGCAAGGCAAATAACTTACGTCCTCACAAATCACTTGTCTTTCCTAAATTCTGAATGGCCAGACTAAGGACTTGCCCACATTTCTGTTTGTCCTATGCCTAAAAAGCATGAGTCCAAGCTGTTTTCCACTTGCCTTGTACTTGCTGAGTGGTTTTCTGTTTACCCCACCACTTTCCCTGGGAAAACCTGCTCTTTAGTGCTGAATCAGAGCAAATGTCAATCTGTGGTAAACCTGATTAATGTTTGCTCCGATTCAGCACTAAAGAGCAGGTTTTCCGCAGGTGAAAGCAGAAGTCTGGATGAGCCCCTTGATCTTGTTCATCCAAAATGGACAGATTTCTTCAAAGACTGACCATTCTCTATGAATTGCCTTTCCATCATTATTTATCTTCCAGGTTCCAAAAGAGTTGGACTGAACCAATATTTCTCACTAGTCTAACTGCCACCACACCAAACTTTTTCCAGCTACTTCTCAAATTATTACTATTATTATTATTATGCATATTTCACAGCTCAGTGAAATCAACACATAGTTCATCACTAAAAAAATGTCACCCCATGTGCGATGTTGCATCTGATTGGCTGTGCTGGTCCATGTGATTTTATTTACTCCATCTTAGAGATGGCGTAACATCACGTGCTATTGAACAACACCATCTCATTGACTTTGTTATTGCTTGCTTATTGATTGACACCTTGCCTTTTCATCCAGTATGCACACAAGTGCTGAGTATAACATAATAGGAAAAGCTTTAAGAGAGCCCCCCCCCCCATTTCCACACTCCGTAGAGATTTGCTGGGTCCACCATCACAGTGGTTCTCTCCAGCAGCCAAGACAGGCGCTGGGCAGATGCCAACCAATTCAGAGAAGTAGACAGTTATCTGGTCAGTAGCAGACAGTGTGCTGGATGTTGCTGCTTGTTTGACCTCCAATCACTCAAATTGCTGCTACTTACTGGGAGGCAGAGGGAGATGGAGAGGGAGAGAAGGCTGGCTGGCTGGCTAGCTGGTGCAAATGCACCAGTGGAAGCACCAGATTGGCACTGTCAATGTCATGGTGGACCCAGCAAAACTCTAAGGATCTTACTTTTGTCTGAGCCGGGTTAGTACCTTTCACTTCCTGGGACCAGCTGTGCATTGGATTCATTCCTTCAACTTCCCTTTGGCTGCTGCCTCATCTCTTTACTCTCTGCCCCCAACCTGGAAGGAAAAAGGCACTTTAAGTCTTGGTGGGCAAGAAGTTCCATGCCCTTTTCCTGTCCTCCATTACATACCCTCCAACATGCTTCCAATGAAAATGGGGGTGTCCTATTCAACAACAACAACAACAACAGCTATTTTTTTTATTTATACTCCGCCCATCCGATTGGGTTGCCCCAGCCATTCTGGGCGGCTTTAAGCATCCATAAAAACACAACAAAACATTAAACACTGAAAAACTTTCCTATACAGGGCTGCCTTCAGATGTATTCTGAAGGTTGTATAGTTACTTTTCTCCTCGGCTCAGGGAGTCACATAATTCCATAACCTCCACCATTTCTCCGATGAAAATAGGGACATCCTAAGGAAAAGTGGGATATCCCGGGATCAAATCAGAAACCGGGATAACTTCTGTAAATCCAGACCGTCCCTGGAAAATAGGGACTGGTTTCCATCAGCAGTGGCAGTGCTTAAGCAGTAGCACCCAGAATGCAACCTGTTGTCCACAATTTGTGACGGTCATATGTTCTGGGGCTAGGGTCTGGAATAGGAGTGGAGATGACTTGTGGCTGGTTGCACCCTTCTCTTGAATTTTCACTTGGAAATAAAAAACCGCTGTAGTTTAGCTCCCCCTCCTTAAAAGCAAATAATCTCTTCTCACCTTTTGCTCCCTTTTTATCTTCTTACGTTTCATTCCTTACTTACTTAGAGGAAAATAGGAGGCTGCATTTTCAATAACTTCAAACAGCCCCGTGGCTGTACAGGAGCAGGAACACCATTTAATTGCTAGGAGACTCTTTTCTTCCTGAGAGTTTTGTGCCTTCCGAGGGGATGATATAGCTGTCTCTTGAAATGCCAAGTTTTTCTTCTTCTTCTGGGTCTATTTGTAATCGTATCTCCTTTATTGGCATTATTGTAGTTGTCATTATTTATATACTGTACTGTAAAATTATATACCACTATTCATAAAGGAAGATCAGAGTGGTTTACAACAATCACGCATAAAACTGTACAGTAAAATAAAATAGAAATGAAATTATTATGGATAACGCAAATTCTAACTAGGAAAAAAAGCCAGGAGATAAAATGTGAAAAGATATTCTGGCCAGCGATCTGATGATGCCAGCTTACTTATATAACATACATCTTTATAACAGAAGTCAGAGCTTCAGTTATACCCTGATGGTTTCCAGATCTTGTCACCAATTGGCAATTGTCTGCAGCAGACCATAAACTAATTAATTTTAGAACCAATTTAAGAAGCTGGCATTTTCTGGAATGAGGTTGGTCTCTTCCAGAGTTCCATTTCCCCACCACACCTCCCTGAATGAGCTTTTAAACCTGTGGAAAAACTGGCCCTTCAGTTGGGAGGTGATCAGAAGTGATATCTCTCTCTCTCTCTTTATCGCTCAGAGTTCATGATCCTTCCACCATTTTCATTTTTAGCTTTTAGAACCTTTAGACCCCCCTTTTTTTAACAAGCCACAGAGAGGAAGAATTGACACTGAGGCTTTGAGACAAGGGGCTCTGTTCATTGAACATTTCAGGTGGCATGAAGTCACAATTCATTAGCTTCATAATGACATGGCCTCCGTGACCTGATGCCGGCTATAATGTAATTCCTTTTTTAGGTGATGTGCTTTTGTAAAAAAAAAAAGAAGATCAAACCATTTTCAAGTCCAAATGGCTACAAGTCCCCAAAAATCGTACAGGTGAACTGTTTGGCCTGAGGAATCCCTAACTGCCCTTGTGTAGAAGATGCACATAAGTCTGGGCACTGGGAATATTCCACTGTTCATGGGCTTCCTAATAGAAGAAGAAGAAGAAGAGTTTGGATTTGATATCCCGCTTTATCACTACCCTAAGGAGTCTCAAAGCAGCTAACATTCTCCTTTCCCTTCCTCCCCCACAACAAACACTCTGTGAGGTGAGTGGGGCTGAGAGACTTCAGAGAAGTGTGACTAGCCCAAGGTCACCCAGCAGCTGCATGTGGAGGAGCGGGGAATCGAACCCGGTTCACCAGATTATGAGTCCACTGCTCTTAACCACTACACCACACTGGCTCACTAATAGGAATATCTGCCATTTTGCTAGTCTAAGGAAAGCATTCTTATTCTTATTATTCTTATTACTATTATTATTATTATTATTATTATTATTATTAAAAACCCTATTAGCTTCCCTGGTGCTTGAATTTTGGAAGGAAGTGCGTGGAGCAGTGGAGGGAATACGTTGTACTCAGTCTTCTTCTCTGGCGATCACTCGTAGCCGAGTAAGATTGCCTTCCATGAACATGATTTTAACAGTGAGTGACTGTGGAGGCCAATTCTGGATCCACACTTCCTTCCACAGTGGGGACATTGGTTTCTAGGTGGAAGTTGATCACAGTGAGGGTTTGCCAAACGTGCCTTCCTCTTAGCATGTTTCTCCCTTTCGTCCTGAGTTCGAGAGTCTTCAAAACCCATGACACCTTCGGTAAAGGCTGTTCTCCAATTGGAGCGCTCAGGGGTCAGCATAGCTGAGCAACTGCCAAGGTCTATGTATCATCATTGGGATCAATGCCAAACATGGACACCCATCACCTTGCTCCTACACCCCTTTGTGAGGTAAATGCCATAAATGTAAAGGACATGACTTCACCCTAAGAATCATGGGAAATGCAGTCTGTTAAGGGGGCTGGAATTGTAGCTTTTTGAGTGGTAAACTGCCATTTCAAGAATCCTCGGGAAGAAGCAATGTGTTTTAAATGTATGCGGCGTATGCTGCCTAAGTTTCGCTGCCATCTTTTAAGTGGGGGACCAGTGACAGGATTTGCTTCCGACTTCATCTCCATCAGGCCCTCCATGTAATTTGGGTCCAGAGGAAGAGGACAAGCAAATAGTGGTGAAACGAACAGAGGCATTCAGGAAGGGATCGCTTTCCCACCTCCTCTTCCTGCCGCAGTCGCAGCAGTGCCGACAGCAGCATCTCCCTAAGTCGCTCTGAGGCCGCTGCCCAGGCAGGAGTGGCGTGGCGTGGCCCTCCTTTTGGGGACGGAGGAGAGCAGGCGTGGGCTGGGTGGCATCTAGTAAAAAGATGCACAGAGCCAGATGGCTGGATCCAGCCCGCCTATCTGCGACAGCATCTGGAAACCCAACCCCCCCCAGCAACAACCCCGTTTCGTGGGGTCTGTTGGAGGAAGCAGGGGGCTGGGCTGCGGGGAAAGGCAGGGGGCAATTGTCAGCGGGAGGGGCACCTTCCCTGGGGAGCCATGTTCTGGGGGCAGGAGGGCAGGATTGGCCCCCAAGGCCTGGGGTGTTCTCCTGTAGTAGGACTTGGAATCCAGGAGAAAACTCTTGGAAAAGCCTTGCAAGGGGCTCAGGGAGGAACTCACCAATCCCCATGTCCTTCACTTTGCAGATGTGCTGGGGATCTGCATCCCTTCCATTGTGGTGAGTATTGGATAAAACGAGAGCAGGGAGGGGATCCCTCAGACCTGCCCCCCTCTTGCATTCCAGGACTGCCAGGCAGCTTGGCTCAGGGGGCTCCGAACCCTGAAGTACTCCAAGGAGGAGACAACCAAAGCCATTCTGGTGAGTGATGGGTGGTGTGAGGGACCCCCATGGGGAGGGAGGGGCAGAGAGGGGCTGGCTTTTGGGGTTGGAGCCGTCCTCTGGAGACTCCTGGAAGGAGCTGACTTTCCTCCTCTGCTCTCTTCTAGAACATCCTTGGCCACTTGGAGTACTTCAGGGATCGCCCCCTGAGCCTGGCCCTGGCCTTCGAGGCCCTTCTGCAGTTGAGGTGAGTGGGGTCTTTGAGGTGAGCGGGGTCTTTGAGGTGAGCGGGGTCTTTGGACTGGGTGGGGCTGCAGGGCGGCAGAACTCCAGGGGGAGCTTTGGGTGGGCAAGTCAGGCAGGAGGAGAAGGGGACAAGGGAGACTTGGAGGAGGCAGTGTCTAACCCCTTCCCTTTCTCTCTCCAGTTTTATGAGACCCCACTTCAGTCCCTCTATGGTGAGTGCAATCCTCCATAGAACAACAGAGGCAGTTCTGGGGAGTGCAGAGGAGGACAAAGAGGTATGTCCTCTGCTTTAAGTTCTCTTTGCACAGCTCTTTCTTCTTCCCACACTCTTACAAAATTTAACCCAGCAGCACTCAGCCTCTCTTCTCTCTTTTCCCACAGCAACTGAAGAGGCCATTCCAGAGCCTGCTGGGGGGTCTCCTCCTAGAAGCCCCCAATACTAGCACCCTTCTCCAGTTGATTACCATAAGTATCCTGATAGCACCAGGAGTGGTTTTAGGGTTGCCCCCCTGTCCCTTACCCAACTGACTTTCCCATTTCTTTCATCCCACAGGACCTCAGATATTACGCCCTTTTGGGGAGTGAAGGCCAAAGGAACTTAGCAGCCAGCAGTATATCCCTGCTGCTGGCCCTTTCACGAAGATTCCCGAACCAAAGAGTAAGTATTTTGCCTTCCTGTATTCAGTTCTTTGGTTGCTTCCATCCTTCCTGGATGGGGCTGCTTCTCTTACACCCATCCAGGGTGGGGTTCATAATGTCAACTGACTCAGATTTGTCTTTCCTCTGCAGAACACAGTGATTCGGCCAGAGCTGACGTGCTTCAGGAATAATCTGAAAGAAGGTAAGCAAGCCCCACACCTTGGGGACAGTGAACTCCCTTGTCCCTTCTTTGCCCAAGACACACCTCCCAGGTCTTCTTGCTGGGAGTCCTGCAGGACCTGCTCCCTGCCTGGCAGGCCTTTCCCACCTGGCCTGGGAGGGCAGCACCCAGACTGACTCCAGCTACAAGAAGCGGAGAGGACTGAACTGATTTTCTCTCTTTTTCATTCTTTTCCATCCAGATGATATCATCATCGAGGAGTTATGATTTTCCTCCTTGAAGGAATTGCTGCTCTATTTGGACATATCAACTGGCCAAAGACTGGCAGAAGAAGAGGCACTGAGAATCAGGAGAGGGACAGATGATTTAAACAGCCATGAAATATGGACTGAGATTGGGCAGAACAAGAAAGAAAGAAAGAAAGAAAGAAAGAAAGAAAGAAAGAAAGAAAGAAAGAAAGAATCCATGACAGATGGTCATCTAATCTCTGCTTTAAAACCTGCAAGGAAGGAGAGTCCATCACCTTCCAGGGGAGTCCATTCCTCTGTTGAACAATGCTCCGTCGGAATCTCCTTTGTTGTATCCTGAAGCCATTGGTTCAAGTCCTATCATCCAGAGCAGGAGAAAAAAAGCTTGCTGCATCTTCCAAGTGAAAATGGCTCTCTCTGGTGTCACTGGATCAAGCTGATCGATTTTCTTGCATTACTTAAACTAAATAGTTTTTAATGGATTTTGAATAAACATGCAATAAATTGTTACTGTTTTGAATTTCATTGTATTATTGTCTTCCATTCATCTGGACACTTTTCTGTTGTTGCAGCCTAAAACAGCATGAGCATTTATTTTTATTTTTTTGCTGCTTCATCACTCTCAGGTTGACTCATGTTAAGCTTGTGGTCCGCTAAGACCCCTAGATCCTTTCCCCATGTACTACTAGCAAACCAGGTATCCCTCATCTTATATTGGTGCAGCTGGTTCTTCTTGCCAAAGTGCAGAACCTTAGATTAGTCCCTATTGAATTTCTTTTTGTTTTTGGTCATTTATGATTAAGTTATTAGGAGGAAATGGAATTAGGAGTCATTTTCATCAAAGGAATTAAGGCAATTTATACAGATCAAACTGCAAATCTGATCGTAAATAATGCCATTACAGGAAAAATGTAAGGTATAGAAGGGGACAAGGCAAGGATGCCCCCTATCACTGCTTCAATCTATATCAGCCCTAGAGGTGTTCGTGCAGAGGATAAGAAATAATTCTGACATAAAGGGGATAAGGGTGGGCCAACGGAATTATAAGATAAAAGCCTTTGTGGTGTGGTGTTTTCTGTAGAAGAACCATTGACAAGTGTACCTAAGTTATTACCATTTTCAGAGTTGGTTACATCATTGGCAACTACATGAAATATACAAAGAAGATAACAAGAAAGGATTATGCTATACGACATCCAGATTCCAAAAGGAAGTCGTAGAAGGGAAGGTGAAGCTTTTGAAAGGTGCATATAGTATTCTGTTAGAATGGGAAACAAAAGATGAAGAGGTGAAATCAGTAATGATTAAATGGGCACAGGATATAGGTCACAATATAATGTTTGAAGACTGGGAAAGATTATGGAAACTGATTTAAAATTTACAGATCGCTCTCTGTTGAAAGAAAATTATATGAAAATGATGTATAGATGGTATACAACACCAGTACAGATAGGAAGAATGTATAAAACGGGTTCAAACATGTGTTGGAAATGTAAGGAAAAAGAAGGGACCTTTTACCACATGTGGTGGGATTGCAGTAAGTTTAGAAAATTTTGGGAAATGATATATAATGAGTTGAAGAAAATGTTCCAATTAACATTTGTCAAAGAACTTGAAGCATTTTGGTTAGGGATTTTAGGGAAAGACCTGCCAAGGAAATTTAAGAATATCTCTATGTATGTGACAACGGCGGCAAGAGTCTTAATAGCATAAGGATGGAAGAATGAAGAAACCCCGACTGTAGAACTATGGCAAGAGAAACTGATGGACTATGCGGAATTGGTGAAATTGACATACAAACTACGTGATAAGGACAACTGTGACTTTAAAGAAGAATGGGAACCTTTTACAAAGTATTTAAAGAAACAACAAAATGAACTGAACTCCTTGGCAGGTTTTGAATAAACATTCACAAATTTATTATTAATAACATATAGACAAATAGGTTAAGGATTTTTTACAATTTTATAGTATGCAGAAAATTATAAGTATGGAAAAACTAGAGAGAGGAGCTGAGGGAAGTCTGGGGGAGTGGGAGGGGGGTTTCTATTTTAGGGAAGGGGAAGGGAAAAAATGGAGGGGGGAAATGAGGATGATATGTTTTATTGATAAAATGTTAAGTTATAATTCCTAATAAAAAATCTTATAAAAAAAGTGTGCCTAAGTTATTGGACAAAATAAGGAAATATGGAGAAGTTGCAGATCTTAAAACAACTAAAACTAAGGTTTTGGTGAAAAATATGGATGCACAGGCAAAAAAAGATTGGCAGATGGCCAGTGGGCTGACAACTGAGAAAAAGATGAAGTATCTGGAAATATGGTTAACAGCGAAAAACTCCAATATATTTCAAGGCAATTATGTAAAGACATGAAAAGATATTAAAAAAAACCCTTGAGTTGTGGGGAAGAATGAAACTCTCTCTAATGGGAAGAATTTTGGTTATAAAAATGAATATATTTTGCCCAAAATTCTATTTTTATTTCAAACCACTCCAATAGTAGGCAGAACAAGATGCTTCAAAGAATGGCAAAAATATGTTTATAGGTTTAATAAATAATAATAATAATAACTTTTTATTTATACCTTGCCCTCCCCAACCAAAACCAGGCTCAGAGTGGCCTTGTTTGGCAAGGGAATAAACTGAGAATTAAATATAAAATTTTAATAGATATAAAATAAAGAGGTGGATTTTCGTTGCCAGACATACAGTTGTATGATGTAGCGGCTTGTCTACCCTTCTCCCCCAAACTGTCCTGCAGTGAATCAGGCTAGTTTAGAGAGGAGGGTGGGAATTCTTCATGAACAAAATGTGCAGACTGTAAGTAGGACTCCTTTGCTTTCTCTTGGTCTCCTGGGGGTGCGGGGTGAGTCCTGGGGTCCCCTGCACAGCCATGGCTCTCTGGAAATTGACCCGGCCAGTCTTCTCCAGAGAGCTCAGCTCCTCCACACTCTCCCCCTGCCTCCCCCTTTTCTCTGCCCTCCCATCATTTACATTTAATAGGACAATCCTAGCCCACTTTCCTCCCAGGAGCTCAAGGTGGCCTTCATGGTTCTCCCTGCCACCAATTATTATCTTCACAGCAGCCCTGCAAAGTAGGCTAGGCCGGCCCAAGGTCCACCAGGGAGCTTCATGGCTGACGGGGGATTCGAACCCTGCTCTCCCAGGTCCTCCTAGTCCAGCCCTCCAACCACTACACCTCTGCCTGGCTCCCTTTTGAATCTCTCCATCTGCCCTATGACATCAGCCTTCTCCCCCTTCCTGGGGGTCTCTCTGGCTTGTTCTGCTCCTCTTCTGGGACACCTTGATGCTTGTGGGACCCTCCTAGGGGTCTCCTCCCTCACCAAAGAAGGACAGGGCTGTCCTAAGAAGATGAGGCAGAGCAGCCCTGTAACAGCTGGCAATGCTTGTCTTTCCTTTGGGCTGGAGCTCTTGAACCCATAGCACTTGGGGCCTCCTTTCTCTCTCTGCCAGCCCTTTGTGCTCTGGGCTGCCTCTTTCCAGCTCTGGCAATGCCCTTTCAGGTCACAGAACTGCAGAGAGATGGAAGGAATTGGGTCAGACGCCCCTCTTCAGACACAAACACCCCCCAATAATTGGGGTTGCTGGCTTCTGAGTCGCTCTGTCTGATTGTCTCTTCTAGGTTCAGGTATTTAAGACGGTTTTAAGTTTGGTAATAAATGCCATCAAATGCCAACAGTGCCCTTCAGCTCTCTATATTAGACAAACAGGTCAAACCCTATGTCAAAGGATAAATGGACATAAATCTGATATCAGGAATCACAAGACAGAGAAACCAGTAGGAGAACACTTCACTCTCCCAGCACATTCTATACAAGATCTCAAAGTAACTGTCTTATTACAAAAGAATTTCAGAAATAGACTGAAAGGAGAAGTTGCTGAATTGCAACTTATTACCAAACTTAAAACCATGGTCTGAACAGAGACATTGGATTCTTATCTCATTCTACATGATATAGCTATTTTTAGCCATCTCACCCCTTGCTTTTTTCTGTAAGACCAATTTCAGTCATTAGCAGTCATCAACAGGTTTACCACACCTATCAGCCAATCACCCATTCCCACCACCCTTCTGAGTACCCCCCCCTCACTATATATAAGGGTCTGGTGACTTCTGTTTCAGTGTATCTGAAGAAGTGTGCATACACACAAAAGCTCATACCAATAACAAACTTAGTTGGTCTCTAAGGTGCTACTGGAAGGATTTTTTTTTTTTGTTTCTACTACAGCAGACCAACACGGCTACCTACCTGTAATTAGTAATGTGTATTCTATGATGTAACAAAATCCAAATCAAGGTATGTTTTGGAACCATAATCAATCTTTAGTCAAGACTATGTCCTTTGATACATCAGCATAAATGCATATTCAGCCATGAAGCTCAACATATGACCTTGTGATGGTTAAAAAATAATGAATTATGTCATGCTAGCTTACAGGGTTATTGTGAGTGATATATTGTGGCTGCTGGGTGCTTGAGGATTAGTTATGGGGTTTATGGATGTAGTGCATGAAGTGTTAGGGGATGGGTAGTACTTCTGGTGAGGCCACATCACGCTCCTTTTGGGGTATTTTGTCCACCTTTGGTCTCCAACCTATACTTAGTTCTCACCTGTGTCTACTAAAAGCTGTTAGAATGTGACAGCGACCACACTCCAAGAAACGGCTTTGATTGGCCGGCTAGATCAGGTTAGGATAACCAATTGGTCTCAAATCCTGGGTAAGTGTCAGGGGCTGGGCAGACAAGGAGGAGTGGTGGACACCGCTTCCCCATCCTGACCCTTTGAGGGAGGAGGAAGAGGAAGACAGTATGGATTTACAACAGTGGTTTGCAGGAGGTCACAGCTCAGAGGCGGTGGGGGGGAGTTGGGTAATAATGGGAGAGGAGGAGCAGACAGAGCCAGAGCAGCAGCTGGCTGACACGTTGTTACTAGAAAGCATTCCAGACCCACCATCTCCCAGAATCCGGCGAGCCTTAAAAGTAGGAGAGCAAAGAGCTCAAAGACAGAAGATACTTAGTAGCACCTCTAGAGGAGTTGATGATGATGGCAAATGAGGAAGTGGGAGAGAAGGGGGGTGGAGATTCACTCAGAATAACACCATTATCCAAGAGGCTGGGTTCTATAGCCTGTCTCTGAAATGGAAAGGATTGTAAGAACACTTTTCCTTGTCTTTATAATTTCCGGGGCGATCAGCTAAGAGCCGCTGACAGCACCCTGACAGAAAGTTAGGGACTTCCCCTGCATGTGAAGACAGGCTTTGACAGATTGAGTGGGTGAGACCAATAGTGGGTCCAACAGTCGAGAAGGTGGTTTCTGTACGTGTTGTAGAAGGAAGTGAGGGGGTTGGTCACCCTAGGAAGGTAGCGTATGGTTACCAGATGTTTTTCAATGAATCCGGGGACACCTTTTTTTTTTTTTTTTTTTAAAGTTGAGTAGCAACAGGGAATCAGTAGTGGGGATGGTGAGGCAAAAGACCCTGGGCCCAAGCACACATGCATATTGTATAAAGGTGTAAAGCCCTTCTTTTGCACCCTGTGAAACATAAATGCACAGAGGTTTTTTTAAAATTGGGCAATGGCGCGCCATGCGCCTGTAACTCCTGAGCCTTCCCTGACCCCCTTCCCCCTTCGTTTTGACAGATGAGGGTAGGCTCGGGAGTCACGGGTGGGTGGCTGTTGCCCAGGAGGGACCGGTTGGCTCTGGCTGGCTTGAGGGACTGCTCGCTGCCGTGGTGCAGGAAAAATGGCGGATGCCATGGCAGCAAGCAGCAAGCAGCTCCTGAAGCCAGCCAGAGCCAACTGTGCTAACAGGCTGGCTCTGGGCTGCTGAGGATGCCGCTGCCACATTTCTTGGGGACAGATTTGCAAATCTGGGGTTATTCCAGGGACGGACTTTGTCCAGGGACAGATTTGCAAATCCGGGGACTGTCCCTGGAAACCAGGGACGTCTGGTAACCCTAAGGTAACGTATCTAGGAGAAGGAAAACTCTGATTCTCAACCTCTGCTGCCCTGCAGGAAGATGTTAACCCTGCGCAAACAAGTGTTGTAACAACTTGGAAGCATCCTGGACTCATGTATGTGAATCATCTAAACGAGTATAAGAGCCCTGCTGGATCTGACCAATGGCTCACCTGGTCCAGCATCCTTTTTTCATGGTGACCAACCAACCAGATGTCTATGGGAAACTCATAAGCAGGACCTGAATGCATATCAGAACCACAATCAAATCATAACACTAAACTCCATAGATTCCCCCGAAACAGAAAGTATTTCAATAAAACATGGATAACCTCCAAGCTTCATGTGGTCTCAGATACTTGGATAACCATGCGGTATTTCTGAAGCAGTGTAACAAAAACAACAGCATCTTAAACAGCCCCAGATGGAAGTGTTATGAAGAGATTTTCATTAAGAAGAATACAATTTGTAGTTGCGTGAGCCAGAGTAATGACACCATCATCTGTAAAAGACACAGTGCAACTTCACCTTTAATTAACTTAAAAGATGAAGCACAAATCCACTTTTAATTAACTTAACTTTGCCAGAGGTATTTAGCCTACTGACAGGGTTTTTGTGATTAAGTGCTATAACTGGAACAGTCACCCCACCCCCATCTTCCTCATGTGCCCCATTTTTCCTAGTACTGAATGTGGCAATTTGCAAAGCACACTAGTGAACTTTTCTGTCTGTGGCACTTTTCCTCTTTTACTGGTTGTAAGCTGTGCAGTTATTAAAAACACATGGTCTTCAGTTTGTACCCAGGAAAGTATTTATTCTTAGATTGTAAGATGCAGCTGTTCAACTCCACTCTTCAAATAATTAGCTGCTTGCCAACTTATGGATGTATAAAGATGGGACCTATAGAAAGCAATCACACTCCACCACCCTACGCAAACTGCAAGCATGGGTATAAGATCTGGATTAGCTCAACATGGTTTGTAATTCATCAAGCTAACTAGATCCCACCTCCTAAACGGGCAATAAGAATCCGTTTTATTGGTAAAGGTAAAGGTAAAGGGACCCCTGACCATTAGGTCCAGTCGTGGCCGACTCTGGGGTTGCGGCACTCATCTCGCTTTACTGGCTGAGGGAGCCGGCGTACAACTTCCGAGTCATGTGGCCAGCAGGACTAAGCCACTTCTGGTGAACCAGAGCAGTGCACGGAAACGCCGTTTACCTTCCCGCCAGAGCGGTACCTATTTATCTACTTGCACTTTGAGGTGCTTTCGAACTGCTAGGTTGGCAGGAGCAGGGACCGAGCAACGGGAGCTCACTCCGTTGTGGGGATTCAAACCGCCGACCTTCTGATCGGTAAGTCCTAGGCTCTGTGGTTTAACCCACAGCGCCACCTATTTTATTGGTAGACTGCTTGTAAATATGGGAAATACATAATGGGGAAAAGAATGGAGGAATAGAAGTATTTGGAACATACACAAGAAACTTGGTATGCCTGACATTAGAAACACTTAACTTAGATTGTGTGTGTGTGTGTGTGTGTGTGTGTGTGTGTGTGAGAGAGAGAGAGAGAGAGAGAGAGAGAGAGATTAGCCCTACACACTAACTAATAGGCCACCAATCATTTGGGGCCAGTGGGGACATTTGAAATGTTGAGGAATTGCTGTGATTGCCAGTCACAAAATGCCTGCTGTGAAGACAAAATGGCTGCTGTGGGGTGTGGCCTAAGACAAAAAGGGGGTCACATCCAAAGCAATAGAAAAGGAGACAGGGGCTTCTCTATTCAAAATGGATGGGAGAATAGCATGGATGTCCAAACATGGCACCCAATGAAATTTGAGCATGTTAGCAGATGTGTTCACCGCAGAAAAAGTTGAAACGGGGCAAAAAGGAAGAGCAAATTTTTGCGGAGATATCTACTGACACCTTTCTTGGGCACCATGGGAGGTAGTGATGGGCATATTGTGATGGATTTGCACTGACAAGTCTTGCATCTGATTGTTAGGTAGCAAAAGGAAGAGTGTGGGCGCTATGGTTGCAATAATGAACGGTTGCGATTCTTTCTACATATCACTATCGGCCTTGATAGATCACAGTGTGGTATAGTCTAATCTGTTGCTTGGAAATCTGCCTGCTGCAACTTTTACAAAAACTCTCATGTTTTTATGCTAGTGTCATTGAGACACTTTTTTCTCTTCCTGGCAAGAGCAGAACAGCAACAGGAAACGGCTCCTATCAACCCAGCTACTATTAAGTCCGGGGCCACCTAGTGGTTGAACCAGTGATGGGGATCCTCCTTAAAAGCCATTAGCCCAAGCCAGCATGGCCAATGCTTAGTGATGATGGGATCTGTAGTACAACAGCATCAGGGTGTCACAGGTTCCACATTAATGGAGTAAACCATATAAAGGCATTATTTACACTGGGGTAGTCAATGTGGTCCCTTCGAGATGCTGCTGGACTACAGTTCTCATCATCATTGGCTATGCTGCCTTAGGCTGATGGGACTTGGAGTCCAATAACATTTGAAAAGCACCATGCTGGCATTTTTTTATTTTTTTTAAAGAGGAATGAGCTTGGTGGGTGACAGGCTTTGGAGGACTGATCTGGATTAATTGTTTTGCCATACTGATATCATACTTGACATTAAAGGCATGTGAACTTCATGACTTGGATGATCTCAATCTGACTTGAAGCTGGAGGAAAAACCTGTCAGCTAGAAAAGGCTTTCTCTGCTAAGAGCTGGAAACTGAGTTGGACTTTACTTGAGGTAAACAAGTCAGCTGTTGACCGAGAAGGATTTATCTGAGTGATTAAATTGAACCCTTCCGATGCTCTCTGTCTATATAAACATTATTCCTGAGCTCTGCTCTGAAATGGAAAAGTTTGCCTGAATGCTGGTAAAAACTTGCTAGTGAGATCCTTTTTCTGAACCCAGAACTATGCTCTCACTCAATGAAAGGGTTTACTGGTTTGTTTGTTTCTTAAAAAAAAAAGTTAATAGTTTTCAATATTTCAGTGTATATAGAAACCAGACTGATGTAAACATGTTTCTTATCTGTATTTAAATAATGTTATTCCAACTCCTTTAATTTAGAAAACATCCAAGTTACGTGTAAAGAAAACTATGGAGTCTATGCTTGGCAACTATACAATGTTGAAGGATGTTATGGAGAACTCTGCTCTTTTATATTGTCTGTCATAATGTTGTTGTCTCAATGAAACCCTGATATTTTGCAGGTGCCATTCACAGTTTTTCTTTAGTCTCCAGAACAGTAACTGCAAAGTTGGTGCCTCTTACGTTGCAATAAGTAAATGGAGATAATAGAACGTACTGGTAAATTGCCATATTTCATACCTGAAGCAGAGGTCAATTTTCAAAGTTTTTTTGTTTGCAAACCCACAGCTTATACATCTGTTGCACTACTCTGTAGCTCTATCTTGGCTACAGGTAGGGATAAATTTGGTTTGGTTTATGTTTAAATATGAAATTCACTAATCTTACTTCCTGAAACAATACACAAAATAAAAAAAAAATCTAGATTCAGGTAGGTAACCGTGTTGGTCTGACGCAGTCAAAATAAAAGATTAAAAAGTAGTCCAGTAGCACCTTAGAGACCAGCTTAGTTTGTTCTGCTATCTGAAGCTATCTGAAGAAGTGTGCATGCACACGAAAGCTTATACCCAGAACAAATGTAGTTGGTCTCTAAGGTGCTACTGGACTACTTTTTAATTTTGAAAATAAATATCATTTGAAATTTGTACTTCTCTGCATTTTGCAGTGGGGCTCTCCAAGTGAATGATGTGTTCAAAAATACACAAATTGGGGGGAAGCATGCATAAAAATGCATGTAGAGTGAAAATAGCATACAAAAAAGCATTTCTTGGGGAAGGTTGCTTGCAAAAATCTGTACGTTAGGAGAAATTGGATAAACATAAGTTTCTCAGAAGAAACGTATACCAAAATGCTGATGAATTTTCATTAAGACTTAAAAATAAAATCACAAACTGATACAGAAATGTGGTGACATGAACTTAATACATAAGAAAAATGAGAACCAGGGAGAAACCAAAACTGACAGATTTGCCAATCCCTAGTTTACGCCCAGTCAGGACATCTCTTTCCACAGAATAGTCATCACTTAAGGCATGGGTGAGTAAACTATCTCCCTCCAGGTATCTGAAGAAGTCTGCATGCACATGAGAGCTTATACCCAGAACAAACTTAGTTGGTCTCTAAGGTGCTACTGAACAATTTTTATTTTTAATTTTTTTATATATCTCCCTCCAGGTATTGTTAGACTCTTACTCCAATAATAATAATAATAATAATTTATTATTTATACCCCACCCATCTGCCTGGGCTTCCCCAGCCACTCTGGGCAGCTTCCAAAAAAAAAATATTAAAATACTGTAATACATCAAATATTAAAAGCTTCCCTAAACAGGGCTGCCTTCAGATGTCTTCTAAGAGTCTGGTAGTTGTTGTTCTCTTTGACATCTGGTGGGAGGGCGTTCCACAGGGAGGGCGCCACTACCGAGAAGGCCCTCTGCCTGGTTTCTCACAGTGAGGGAACCTCCAGAAGGCCCTTGGTGCTGGACCTCAGTGTCCGGGTAGAACAATGGGGGTGGAGACGCTCCTTCAGATATACTGGACCGAGGCTGTTTAGGGCTTTAAAGGTTAGCACCAACACTTTGAATTGTGCTCAGAAACGTACTGGCTGGCTGAGACTGATGGAAGTTGGAGTCTAGCAGCAGTTGAAAGGCCACAGATTCCCTGCCCTGGTGTATAGGATTGCAGCTGAAATGTAAACAGAGTAAAAGAGAACTGATGTTCTCATATATACCCTGGCTAACCCTGGGATAGGGAACCTGCGTCCTTCCAAGTATTGTTGGACTTGAACTCACAGTATGTTGAAGATCTGGAATCCAACAGCAATTGGAGAGACACAGGTTTCCTACCTGTGGCATAAGGGAAAGGGCAGTGGCTCAGACTGTTTCACGGGGAACATATCCCAGGCTCAATCGATGCCATCTGCAGGTGGGTCTGGAAAAGATTCATTTCTGAACCTCTGGAGAATCACTGCATTTCAGTCTATACAAATTACAGTCATACCTCGTGTTGCAACAGGTTCATGTTGCATCTTTTCGGGTTGCGAACGTGGCAAACCCGGAAGTGTATACTTCCAGGTTTCGTCGTGCGCACATGTGCAAAAGAGTTCTGCACACTTTGCACATGCACAAAAGTGCTCTTTTGCACTTGCGCAGAAGCACCACTCTAGTTACAGACTTTTCAGGGTGCAAACGGCACCCTGGAACAGATCGAGACTGTAACTAGAGGTACCACTGTAGATGGATCAATGGCCTGCCAGGATGTAAGGCAGATCTCTCTCTCTCTCTCTCTCTCTCTCTCTCTCTCTCTCTCTCTCTGTCCTTCCTTCCTCTCTGACATTTCCTAGCAAGCAGTGTCATGCATAACTAAAGCTGAAAACACCATGTTACTACCACTCTGCCAGTTTATTAGTGAGACTTAGGCCGAATTGTGTTCTAACCCATACTGTGAACCTGAGCAGCTGCTGTTTTGTTCTAGGAATTGTTGAAAGAAAGTTAAGGAATGGCAGACCTGCCCATGGAACTGCGTTGAAGTATATGATTTCCTTTTACATTAATATTTATAGTCATGGCTCATAGGAAGAAATCACAAATGTTCCTGTGTTGAGCTTCAGTTTGCTTAGGTCAGAAAACTGCATCACCACCTTAGAGTGGGTACATATTGTAATTTTATGAGTGCTCTATTAGAGAATCCATATTCATCGAACCTTGAGCCACTATGGGTTTTGATTTAGCAACTGCTTAGAAGCATGCCATCAGTCTTGGGTAGCAGAGCTGTCCATGAAGAAGCTCACTTGATGTATATAATATTATTTCATATTAATATTCATACCCATCTGTTAGCATAGCATCCTATTCCTTTCTCAAGATCCACAGCCAAAATTTACAGGACATGGGTGGCAAGCCAAAGACAAGAATGGACAAGCAATTTTGGAATACTTAGCAAGCTTTAGTTGACTTCCAGAGGTTTTGGAAATGTGGGCAGCCAAGAACAACTTGGCTCACAGGTCAGAGTGCAACAGAAGGTGAATATGGGTGGGATACAATTCTGGTATCGCCAGAGAATTCCACAGAATTGCTACAAAAGTTCTTCAGTGTACTCATCTTTATACATTGTGGTCAACTTACTATAATCCTGTCAGTCATCCTGTGGTGTACAATCCTGTCAGTAATCCTGTGGTGTACAATCTCTTTCTATTTAACTAGTTGAATTTCATGGATAGATTTCATGCTTCCATGCACATTTCATAACTTGTTTTCTTCTTTAAAGTTACGTATAAGGGGGAAAGCCATCAATTCATCCTAACCACTGTTCCCCCCCTAAAAAAGTCAGAATTCCAATTTTCTTTAGAATAATTCAGTTTATTCGTGCATCAGCCCCATTAACATGGGACACTATTTATCCAGCACCTAATGGATATAATTTGGTCAGCAAGTCTTTGTATCACATAATTTATTGCTAAGGGACACGTGTCTGATAAAAAAAATAAGCATACTGTCTTTCTGATCAATCTTTCTCACTTTTTCTGTTTCTCATAGTTTTTCATTTTTTTTCTAATCTAAAATCCACATTTCGACATCAGTTTGCATTCTTTCTTTTCTTTTTTTTAAAAAAAAAGGTCTCATGAAATCTGCAAGCAATTTTCTGTGAAATGCTCCTAATATACACATTTTTGTATGGAGTTCTGCCTAATATGCACATTTTTGCACATCAATTTCACCGAATACAATGCATTTCCTTATATTATTGTCAATAATTATACCATTTTGTACAGATTACTTGACTGGAGAACCTAATTCGAAAGTGTGATTTATGTTGCTTCACATTTAAGTGCAAAATGAATCTAATTTCTTCCCCTTCCCCTGCTCGCAAAGTCAGGCCTGTGATGTTGTCTATGCAGCCTTATTCCAAAGGAAGAAATGGAAGCACACATAGATTTCACTTTTTCACCCCACACTTCCATTGCAATATTCAACAAAAGAGCTTGTGATATTCAATGTACAACCCTGTTTCTAGCGCTTGCTCATTATGCTCCACATTTGTTGTCGTCTTTCATTATGCCAGAAGTGTCACTCCCTCACATTTACTTCTTCAAAACATTGAAAGGAACCACCTTATCTCCTCCACTGGATGAATCTCTTTAATTTTGTCAAAGGCGAGCAAAACCGTTCACTCTGAATATCATTTCTCCCCACTATGTTGGCGGAGGAATTAATTATTTGAACACATGTGAGAAAAATAAAGAATTGTGTTTTAACAGGCAAAAAGAAGAAGACCAGAAAATACCCGGAAGCAGCTAAATGAGATCTGCATTAGGAGGCAAGAGACATACACAGTGCAACACAACTTATGCCAACACTATTTAACCAACTAGGATGGAATTTGCTATCAAAGTTATATTTGTTTGGAATGTACTCTCAGCAGCAGTGGGAAAAGATGAGAAAGAAAGTTGTCATTAGCAATTGCTCAAAGGATACTGTCCTGCCATTACAACAAGGGCTAGTTAAAATATGACATCCCGCAGAAGTGTCCAAAATAATTAAATGCCTTGCGTCGAGGGAGGAAACATTTGGGAATGTTTCTCAATATATGGCTTCCTTTTACAGGCTTTATGAAAAATAGACATCGTTTTCTTCCCTTTTTCTTTTTTCTTCCCCATAATGGCTTATGTTTTATGCCATGTAGTTTGATATTTTTGTAGTTTTTTTAGCATTATTATTATTATTATTATTATTATTATTATTATTATTGAATTTTCTTTTGTAATTTTGGTTGTCTATATTTATTTGTATTTGTTTAAAGCAAAATAAAAGTATTTTTTTTAAAAAATGGACATAATTTAGATATTGATTGTTTTTTCCATTTAATATATGCATCTGAGATAAAATGGCAATGGATATGGGGTTTTACTATTGTATATTTTAAAGCATATCTATTATTATTATTATTATTATTATTATTATTATTAACATCTATCTATCTATCTATCTATCTATCTATCTATCTATCATCACCATCATCATCTATCATCTTTGTTTAATCTATTTAAACTGCATTCTGAACACATCTTCCTTGGAGTAATCCCTACTTAATGTAGTGCATGCATAGGACTGCACTGTTATATGCCTAATTTTTCATGAGATTCCCCTGTTCCCTGATTCACCAAGGAGTGCCATTTATGGCACAGGGCAGCAGTGGGAAGATACCTCATTTGGCTGGAAAGCAGCTGAACACAATTTGTGGCCATGTGAGAGGATGAGACCAGGTGGGATCTCATCCATGCTGGGCTCCCTATGGTGGGCCGTGCTGACTCAGGCTTTATCCAGCCTGACTCTTTGGTCACCAGGCTCTGGCTGACACAGGCCCCATGGGTGAAGGGCAATGTGCCTTTACAAATCTGCACATCACCAAGAGAGGCGCTGTATCCATCCCCTTGTGGTACATCTGCAGTATCTGCACATCCTCCCTTCACATGTATGCACAGTCCATTATGTTGTTGTTGTTGTTTAGTCATTTAGTCATGTCCGACTCTTTGTGACCCCATGGACCAGAGCACGCCAGGCACTCCTGTCTTCCACTGCCTCCTGCAGTTTGGTCAAACTCATGCTGGT